AAAAAAAAATCGAAGTACGTAATATATACAACTCCCCAACTGATTTTATACCTCCATTGGCTGCTGCTTGTGTGAAAATGCGTTTCTGAATCTGACCAAGTCCTGTTGCTGACAGTTGAGGTGTTTGAAGGAATTCGAGTTACGCCATGTATGAGAGACCTGCAAAATTCGCGTTATTTGAAGACAGAATAGACTGGAAACACGTATGCGTTTGTATTGCTCTTGTCATTGGACTACAGCTTAGTTTGACACGTCCTGGGCTGCCTTGAACCAATCGGAAGCAAGTAACGACAAGATAGCCCAATCACGTCCCGCTTTGCATGTCTCTATGTATGACGTGTTTGGTTGTTTCCTAATAATGGTTTGTACCACAAGCGTTTTATACTCGTGTTAACATAAAAGAACACGAAAGTACCTTATTTTTAGTTAATTTGAAATTTTATTTATAAATTATAATAGTTCTTTAGTTATTAAATTGAATAAAAACGGGGGGAAATAGGTGTGTTGGTAATGTCTAGAGGCGTGCGAAATTCGCGCTATTTGTCGGTGATTGGATAGACTGCACTGCCTTGTAAACAAGTGAGCACAGTCTGTGGTTTCGTTGGCCACTTCACTTTAATTAACGTTCACCTACTTGCTTGATCTCCTTAAAAGAGATTTGCCACTCCACCACTGAACCAATATTATTGGTGCAAGAGTTCTCCTAGGCGTGGCAGACATACGGGCAGTAACTTGCAGTCCAGCCTGTCCTTAAATAATAACGCCAATTTTGCAGGTCTACTAGACTAATGCCTAGTAAGAAATAGTTCTCATGCAAAATGTCATTAAGCTGAGTGCGCGCGAATGCGGTGCGTCGTCCCTTTGGCGTGACTGTCCAAACTTAGCTAAGCTCAGTTCGCACGAGGCGGAGGAATATCCTGCAAGTAGAACTTCAGGAGTGCTTCAGGAAAGTTGGAAGTGACCGTGAATGGACTATAGTTTAGTTCGGCTTCCGCGGGAACTGTGTAGGTTGATCGCCGTGGCTTCCTCAGCGATCTCGGCGCTGTTGATGGCTGGCAAGCCATCGTCAGTTCAAGGCCGACCGTCGCGTGACCTTGGCAAGCTCGGATAGTCGTGGCCGTAGTTGGGCAACAACATTAACAGGTGTTTGTGAAACAAATGTCCGTTTTCCTACCTCAAACAACTACTCAGTTTTGGAGCAGAGTAAACCTCTTGCTACGCTTCTGCGTTTTGACTAGGGAACTTTGTGGTTACACCAGTTCCAGGGGAAAACGGACATACGTCGATCGGTGATTGTATGGATCATTCTAAAGGGAAAACATCAATGAACGTATGGTCTATTTGCAAAGGTGTCCGAGATAGAGCTATGTCAAACTGACTACGGGAACGGTACATGTGATAGCAAATGAACAGAACTTTACTTGTTGGGTTTAATTGTGTAAATTCCCTTAACAACACATGTTCAAAATTCCACCCCCAATTTCAGCTCGTGTAGTTAGATGCTGTGTTTCTAATCGGAGCTGGTGTTATAGACTGTTAACGATACAATGAGTACTCTTGAAAGCCCTGCTTAAGGTCTACTTGTATGCACATTGTGTTTGCTTCCGCCTTATACAAATTTAACATTGCCATGGGCCTCGTCATTTTATTCGTGCGTCGGCCAAGTGCAATAGTTTTTACTGGAAAATACGGGCTTTTACCATCAGATATAATATTATTGTGTAACTAGGCGTGTAAAAACATTAGAATATTTGTTTAAGTTGTTGGTTTTCAATTATTACTTTTTCTTATTAATACCAATTTAAAAAATTAGCGTATCATTTTTTATTTGTACATTTTTTATACGTATACAGATTTATGTTTGAAAATGATAAATCAACATTTTGAGAATTTAATCCAATGAGAATTATTCCGGTAGGCGCTCATAAAAGAAAGCCTGATAAATCTTGTTTAGTTGGGAAATTTAACTCTAATAATTCGAAAGTGGCCACACTAGATAATGGAGTACAATACAATTAAAATATCTTGGCTTACAAACACACATTTTAAAATATTATATTTGTTAATATTTATTTTATTGGTTCAATATTGTTTCTTGAAATCGTGATGAGTAAGCGGCCCTAACTATGCGTCTGTTGTAAAATGACTGAACTCACCCTCCCCCCCCCCTTTTTTTTTTTTTTACCATCACCACTTCATAAACGGAAAGTCTATATCCGCTTTCGTCTGGATGCCGACGCGTCGATGCAGTTTACTAGACTTATCCGCGTCGCCATGATTCATAGCAATCCGTACTAATCAAAAGAGAATCTTTCTACAGTGGCACGTCGCTGGACTGTCGGCGCCATCCTTGAACGAAAAGTGTTTCCCGTGAGGCAAGGAAGCTCCAGAAGGTACGTTCCGCACGATCTTTGTTTTTGAACGCGCCGCCCTTCAGGAAATGAGTCTGTGCGCGGTAATTATCCGTGCCTCCGGTCTCTTGGTGGAGCGGAGAGATTTAGAACTGTGTCTTAACATCGAAGCATCATGCTGGAATTCAATATCTTACGCCCACAACCGCCGCTTCCTTTTGTATTGGCCGCGTGTCTACATGGCCGATATCGCCAATTAAAGAGTCTGGGCCAATCAGAATAAATTACTCCGACACTGAACGTCAGTGATTCGCGGACAGACACTTGAGGCACGTGACATTTAGAATCACCCAACCACGAAAGTGCACATGAGCAAAAGTGTTTTTGGGGTACAGCCGGTCTCGAAATATTTTCGCGAAAAATATCTGCCCCTAATCATTGGTGAACCAAGGTGAGCGTTGGGATCCAACACAAAAATTAAAGTCGACATTTGGTGGCAAATGTATCAAATTGGTTATAGAGACACAAGCACGGCCGTTAAAAAGTGGCAGTCAGGAAAACAAAAATCGCTGTTTACGATGTTTATTCTTCTGTAAAACAGTTTTTTTTTTAAACCGCAGCGACAATGCTGCGTCTTTTCTTAACAAAATTGTTGTATTAAAATTATATGCTCACCACGTAGAATTCTGAGGAAACAGTGTACCCAACGCGAAGCTTGTTTATGCTATTTTTCCATCGCCGTCTCAATTCTTCCTTACGGCTGAACATCTTAGTCGCGTCATATGTACTGTGAGTAAGCAGTCAACAAGAGAGCGATAGTGTGACCGAGTCATGGAAAACCCATTACTGCCAGTGGACAAACGAAACTGGATCGACTGTGTAAACGGCTTCGAGGACTGTCCTGCCAACTCCTAGACCAACGATCAACCACCTAGACGGATCCTAGATACTGGGATAAGAGCAAACCGAACGCCTAATTTATTTCCGATTCGATTTTGTTTAATTTCCCAGTCCAATACTGGCAATATAAAAACGAGAAATTATTTGATGTAATGTGAATTAACTGCTTATCGTTTTATGAATATTTTTGAACTTAAATGAAAATAAAAGTACCGTAATATTGATTCGATTGCAGAAATTGAAGAACAATGATTTATATAAATCCACGTCTCTTTTTACGATGTTGCTGGTGATGTGAGCATTACATTGTCGCACGACCATGAATTGTCGTCGATATGTGAGTTGGTTAAGTGTTTTAACAATGATTTGGCGTTGTGTACCGATACTTGACAGCTCACAGCGGCCGTTTATTTTTGGACGTAATTATACATATTTTGGATGTGATTATTGAACACATTTTTTTTGACATTGGCGCATTTACACTTGGGGGGGGGGGGGGGGGAAGAGTTTCGCTGTTTTGCCTTGAATGACGTCTCCGGTCTGGTATTTGTTTGCTCGTTGTGTCCTGCTACGCCAAAGCTGCTCGCGAAATACTTAAGAGCTTTATGAATAGGTTTTTTTTTCCCGGGAAAATCAATTACACTTTTATTGATACCATTAAAATAATTATCCTATATAATACTACCAAGCAAAATAATATTCCCATTCGCGCTTAATTTTTCAAATTATCGCGCTTTCAAAATGTAAAATTTTCCAACACTTTTGTAAACAATCGAAACGGTTTGCTATTGGCCAACGTGCGTGTGACGTAGTTGTTTATGTGCTGGTCTCGCCATCACAATGTCAGCAAGCGAGCCAACGTATTTTTAGGCCGGTTGCCGTGGATTACAGAGAACATTTGAAAAAGTAATGGAATTTTTTTGGAAACGTACGTGTCTTGCAAAATTTACTGATACGTTTTACGTGATTTTACTTCAATTGTTGACGCCTTCGTCGATGTTTAAAATGTAGTCGGAGTTTCAAAACACAATTTTAATACAGCAGTAGGCAGTTAATTTTAACGTACGTAGGGACATTTTTTACTCAATAATTTTACTCTTACGAATAACCACTTTCTTTCAGACTCTGCAGTTATGAATAATTTAAATATTTTCCTGCAAACACGTAGGGTAAACTCTGGTTACTCCGTGATACAGGTAATTCCGTGATACCTCTCCGTTTGTTCCTAGCACGGACTAGAAATAGCTGTTCGAGTTCAGCTCAACGATGGTAGATAGCGTGGGAGTTCCAGTTTACGTAGGTACCGCGACATGAAGAAATGGACATGAAAGTACTTCGTTACGATATATAGGTGAACTTTTGGTGCAGAATTGATTAGTTATATGTTAATGCATGAAAATTGTTCCAGAATATACATATAACGCTGAAAATACAGGTATGCGGTTGTGAAATCCTACTGTGACAATGTCTTATGGTAACTTTACGGCACAAAGATATGAGAACTTTGGATGCTTATAAAATGTAGCAAAAAAAACTTATTTTTTTTGCAAGATCTGCTTGAGCCCGCGTTGAAGTTAGTGTGTCTCTAAAAATTAAACTCAAACAAGTTTACGCACTATAATCGTATTTTTGTGGCGTTTTTTTACTCTATAATGTTGTAAGCCTCTTAGGGCAAGTAAGCCCCAACATCTACGGTTTAAGGCCCTTATTAAACAAAATTAATAGGCCTAACTACTCATTGCGCAATAATACTTAGTAGAGCAGTGGTTAGCGTTTCATCCTCTGAATTGGAGTGCTTGGGTTCAAGTCCTCCCCAAGTAAAGGCTTTTTTTCTTCGTAATTTTATTTTATGGAAATATCCGATTTGGGTTCACAACTAGATGTTTGTGTTGCCCCTTCATTTCCAATGGCAGCCACTACGGAATCTTCCGACCTGTCTGGCTTGGCTGTGTCGCCGTGATATAGTGCATTCCTAGTAGGCCTATCTATGCTACAGTTTTTAGGAAACATTTCCAAACACGCCATCATTGTCTGAGGACGTGGGTGAACCTTTTTGCATAGGCCTATAACACATGGAAGTCATGGGCAATTTTTGTATGCGGCTCAAAATTTAGTAGGTGGATCTGCTTGAAAAGTAATTTATTAAGACTTCAGGAAACTATTGGGATAGGCCTACAATGAATGGACTAGGCCCTATATCAAAATCTGCATTCGGGCTGTTCACCTAATCATTCAAAAAAGGATATCATATGGCTTGTTAGATACTATTTAGACGTTTTTTGTTGTTCTTAGTCTGTTTACAATGCCTGCATAAACTGACATTACTGAATATTATTTCAGAGATGCCTTAAAAAAAAAAATTCACCTGGTGACAAAGAAAAGAAGTGTGGGCCAAAAGAGAGTGGTTATTCATCCCTCAGCACGCAGGCAGCCCTTCATAAAATTAAAGTTGAAAATTGGTCTATTTACAAAGCAAGTAAACACTACTCTATCCCATGGTCGACGCTGGAGGACTATGTTTCAAAGTATATGCCAACTGGAACAAACCAAACAGATCTGACAAATGTGAAACAGTAGAATTGGGAAACCGTTAGGAATGAGCAGTGAACTTGAGGTGGAGCTGGTAAGTTACTTTGTAAAAATGCAGGAGCTTGGTTTCAGTCTGACAATAAACCAAATACGACACCATGCCTACAAGTCAGCAGCCCAGTCTGGATCCCAACATCCATTTAACAAGACCAAAGAAATGGCAGGCTGGTTTTGGTTGGTGAATTTAAAAAGCCGTTATCGGCTTACACTTAGACAACCAGAAAACCTTGCACTGTACAGAGCATAAACTGCAAACAGAGAGATTTGAAATGACTCTTACACGAAGTTGGAAAATCTAGCCGAATCCTTGCAGGTGACACATTTGCCAGGTCGATTTCGGAATGTTGATGAGACAAGTCTCACCTATGTTATGAATCCAAACGAAGTGGCAACTGTTGTAGGTAAAAAATATGTGTATAAACAGACCTATGCAGAAAGAGGTATCACAACAACTGTGCTGGGATGTGTAAGAGCATCTGGACTGTCAGTTCCTCCATTCATAATTTTTAAAGGTGTTCGGATGGTTGATGTTTTGGTTGAGAACTTGATTCCAGGTGGTCTTGTTCGCCTGTCGAAAAATGGTTGGATCAACACTGACTTGTTCCTTAAATGATTCAATCATTTCTTGGTCAACATTCCTCCATAAAGAACAGATATTTTATTGATGGACAGTCATGCCAGTCACTTAAGTCCTCAGGTTCTGGAGCTTGCAGCCAAGAATGATGTCCATATTGGTACTTTTCCTTCTCACACTACGCACCTTCTCCAGCCACTGGATGCTGTGCTGTACAAACTCTTAAAGAGCAATTGGAAGAATGAATTGGATGCATTCATGCATTCACGTCCAGGTGAGAGACCAAACAGAGTTGATTTCACTAGCTTGCTTACTCCAGCCTAGCTGCCCACTTTCATCACACAGACCATAATTAACAGCTTTCGGAAGACGGGAATTTTTCTCATCGTTAGATGTCCAATCACAGATCAAACTATAGCGCCTTCATCAGCACCTGATGCCACAAGATGCAATACAACTCCAGACGCCACAATTTCTCATCAAAAAGTTTTGCCTCTGAAGCAAACTCGTCCAAGTAAAAGCAAACAAATAAATATCATGAAGGGAAAATGCAAGGAAGACTGGTTTTGCGGATCTTGTGGAAGAAGCTACAATTAAGATGTAGTCGAAAAAAACGCTGCTGGATGGGTTCAGTGTAGTTTTTGTAGTGTTTGGTATCACTGTGCATGCCAAAATGTTACTAGTGACGTAGTATTTATGTGTGATGGATGTGCAAGTGATACTGACAGTGAGTGAAATCATTTCAAGTAAATGCACTGTCTCACAGACTAAAACTGACCTATGGCGGACTTAACAGAGTGGTATCACGGACTAAACAGAGCTATCAGAGATTCACCAGCATGTTTCAAAAGAAATATTTTTATTATTTTTTTACTTCAAAGTATGTTAGAAAAATCTGATAGCCTAATAGTTGTTTCCATTAAAGTCAAACTTGCCAAAACCGTCTCAGTTAAAATTTCTAATAGTTTAGCTCTCATTTTTATATTAAAAATTCGAAAACTATCACGGACTAACCAGAGTTTACCCTACCTCACCTTGAAGCCTTTCGTGGGCACATTTGACGAACATTCTATTTCCGTACGAATATTAATATTAGTAATGTCATCTTGGAATCCCAGTTTTTCGAAATTAGTTCTACAAACTAAGAAATTGATTAAGCCTCTAATGATTAAATTAGCATGACCCGAGTTTGATTATATATTTTTAACGTATGCCTGTGTAACGGGCATAAACAGGAGCATACTACCTCAAATCTATGAAGCAATTTTAAACGGTAAAATTATTAGTATTTACCTATTTCTGACTAAGGACATGTTCGGATATTATTAACATGGTGCAAAAACACATACCTGTCACATAGTATAAACTGCATAAGTTTTCATGAAATGTAGAGGCAATTTCTCATTGGACGTACAGCCACCGCCTTTTAAACAAACATTACCGTGTTGCGTATTAGGCCAGTGCTATTGCGGTAACAACACACTCACGCACAACGCGTGTACTTTTGTTTCAAATTGCCTTGTGTTTTACGGTTCTTAACTCCGTTTCGGCACGTTACACGCTCTTTTTTTTTTTACATTTAAACTATTCCTAGACATCTTATCAGGAGTACATTCTGTTGTATTTTGGCTTTGTGGAACACTCTTGCTGGTGTTCGATGAGAGAATAGTAACATCAAAATCCTCCGAAACAACGAAATATAATAAACATTCCAAATACACACGCTACCCGCTAATGCCTTTTCATGTAAACAACAAAGGCCGACATGTATGCTGACGTCACAGGCATATTAAAATGGCGGCGTCCATTTTTCCCGCCCAAAATCGTAGTCTATGTTTTAAAATGCGTTATTCTCAAGTCATACACACATAAATAATGACAGGATTACAGCGCGAGTCTTAAAATTTATCATACTATCACACGGTAGGCAGAAAAAAAAAGAAAAGGAAAAATTCCTGTTAAGGGGCCGCCTAATAGACACTTGAAATGGGCTACAGTATGTTGGGAGATCCGTTTTTTATTTTACGAAACTATTCCACGTGTGCCCAGTGTGCTAATTTACGAGAAAGAAACAAACTTCAGGCGATGACGGATTGTCACTTTCAAGACACTACGCACGTTAGAACCACTATTTCCAAGTCCTCCAACATAGCTAAAAACATCATCATTTTCAGACTGCCGTATGTCAAAAATTGCTGACTGCATCTACGTGAAACTCAGATACAATTCTGCATTGAACTTTGGATCAGACTTTCCAGCAGTAAAATAATATGGTCACCGCTTAAAATCCCATAGAAAAAATGGTTCGACAAAAAGCTTGCGTACTAGTTTAGTGCTTCACGCATAGTGGCGATGTGGCACTTGGTGTGCGGGCCAATGCTGCCGTTAGCGTTTGCTTACTCCTGTGCCATGTCGCGTCAGGTAGGCGGCCCCCTTAAGTAGTAGTTGCATGTGTGAAGGCTCCCGTCTACCTATCGCTTGATCTGCATTGTAGAGGCAGTTGAAACACGCGTTTATTTTTCCCTTCAAGAAACAATTCAACTTGCTGACCGAGAAAAGGACACACATTTCAGACGAGGGCTGTTCAGTGCTTTCAAGAAGTCCACACATGTTGGAAATACCACTTCAGAGCACTCCAACATGGCTAACAACGGCTACTTCAAAGCGCTGTATCTCAAAAGATATGCGTCACATACAAACAAACGTATTCATTAAATTGTGCTGCAAACTTCCCACGCTTAAGATACTAGGATCACCTCATTGGTACACACAGCACGACGAGAACAGTGTGTGTGTTGAAGTGATCAGGCCTTAGCTAAACGGTCTGCCTGATCACACCTTCAAACATTGAACTAGGGCACGAGCGTGATTGCAATAACACCTTGCGAAAGGCAGTTGCAGAACACCCCCTCCCCCCCATCTCCACCAGCCAGTAAACTGGGCCGAAAATATTAAACAACGCTCCCGATATAGGCCAACGCAAGACTGGGAGCGGCGTACTTTGTCGTCGGGGCAGCGGACCAAGAATACGTGGAGATGGGTGTGTGCGGCTGTCGTTAACCACCTCCGAGAATCAGCCTCCGGCAACATGTACAAGGCGGAGACTTCCAATGATATTGTAATAGTAATGGCGTGAGGTAATAATACTTAATATCAATAATTAGCATCTTGGTATTCCATTTAAGCTCCCCTCGATAAATAGCCACGTAAATAGTTGGTGTATAATCTTAATGATCAATAAACCCAATCTTATAATGTTGTGCTCTAACCATAATCATGAGTCATTATTTCTCTATGCCCATAGTCCCTTTCAGATGAGAACTGACTTAAAAGCTAATTCGTAACAACTGCACGCCAGGTCGGGGCTCTTCACGTAGAGGCGATGGCGCACTTGAATGAGAAAGCGGCGAGAGTTTGGAGGTCCACAGTTTTCGGAGTTATATGGATCTGCACTTTTTTTTTTGTGAAATAACTTAATTATTTGCGCGAATACGCATCTCTCGGTAAATAAATGTTCTGCAAATACGAATTTTTTTTGTTAGAAAAGATAAACAACAATTATCTATGTCCCCATTGTTTTACTTTTGTCATATTTAGTACATTCTCGGAGAAAAAATAATTGTGAAGATGGTCAAACATCGCATATTTAAAGCTCACC